AATCTTCTGGATTTATTTCTGTAGATTTTGAATCATTTCTACTTTTTCATTTAGTTTGTCATTTTGTTCTTGTATTTTCTTCTGAAGTGTCTATGGTTTTATCTGTGTTTTCCTTGATATGTCTCTCAATCCTTTAAAGATATCTATAGATATAATTCTTTTGAATTCCTTATCAGGGAGTTCCAATGCTGCTTCCTCTTCAGGGATGTGCTCTGGGTCTGTATCCTGCTCCCTTGTTTCTACCACTTTATCTTGCTTCTTTGTGTGGACTGTGATGGTCTGTTGTCTCTGAGATATTGTGATGTTGTTGTATTTTGATCTCTCTTAACTATTTATGAAGAGCAGTTAAGGGTGAGTCAGGATCTTCTTGATGGTTGTTTATCATTGGCCCGTTGGTGGAGAAAGAAGTAGTGGCTCTCACTCAGTAAGTGAAGCTGCAGTAAGTATAGGTGTAGTTGTGTCATACAAGACTACTGCTGCCTCCCATTAAGTTAGACAAAAATAAAAATGAATAACCATAAAAAAGGTAAAAGCAAATGGACAAAAAACACACTGTTTAATCATACAGGAACAATAACCAAAAAAAGAAAAAAGGGAAAAACAAAACAAACAAACAAACAATAACACCATAATATCTGGGGAGAGGGCAATAAGAGAAAAAAGGTAAAGTAGGAGAATAATGAAGAAAAGATGGGAGAAATGAGAAAAGATAAATAAGGAATGGGTTTAACCATAAGAAAGAAAAAAAATTGGAACCAAGAATAGGGAAAAGAGCAAAATCTGAAAACTAGAACCTGGGAAGGGAAGAATAAAGAATAATAATAAAAAATACAAAGTAAAATTAATAATAGTAGTTTTAAAACAGACCAAAACAAACTTTAAAAAAAAAAAATCAGGGCAGGGTGGGGCAGGGCACCCAGGCTCCCTCCGATCACAGATTGGGATGGAATTCCTACCAGCCTAGGAGGTGGTTGGGAGTGAGGGATGGCCGTACCTCCATTTACCAAGAGGGTGTGGGGGTATAAGAGTAACAAGGGGAATGTTGCACCTTTCCCATCATTGGCGTCTGGAATGTCCTTGTGGTTAACAGCAAGTGGAGCCTGTTGCTAAGTCCCTGGACTCTGGGAGAATGCTGTTGCTTTAAATATCCAAAATGGTCAAATCACTTGTAAACATTGAAAATGGCTCTGCCCTCCCAACAGGCAAATGTCCACAGCTCAGCCCGCCTTCTTCTTTGCTGCTTCCCCTTTTATTCACCAGAGCAGTCCTCTGTGCAGTCTCTGGCTAGCAGGGCTGATTTTTAGGTTAATTTTTAGGTCCTAACACCAGTCGGCAATATCCAAGTTGCCTGTGCGGTCAGGATTGCTGCTAGACCACAGCTCCGTATGTCTCCTTTTTTGGTGTTTTCATGCAAAGTCTTCTACTAGTTGGAGTTTAGTCTACTTCTATATCCTTCCCATCAAATCTCAGTGGTCTAGGATTATCTTCTGTATCTGTGTCAATTGTTTCCCCATTTCTTTGTTGAAGAGGGTCTGTGCAGCCTTTCTGCCTATTCCACCATCTTACCAGAACTCTCCTACATCCTTTTTGCAATGAGAAGGAAGGGTTTTACAATCCAGAGACCTTGAGACTGTATTTCTAGGTGTCCTGTAATTTTTGTAACCTTTCAGCATAAAAATTAAGTCTTAGGTAAGTATTCAGAATATAAAACAGTCCAAGATCAATGAGGACTCCCTTAACTTATAATAATAGTGACAGGCTTATTCGAGCATGTGTGGTGTGTGGTGTTGTTTGCCGTCGAGTCGGCCCCGACTCATAGCGACCCCTCCTTGGGTTTCCAAGGCAGTATCACTACAGAAGTAGGATTGCCCAGCCTTCCTTCCGAGGAGTGGCTTTGTCTTCTTTTTACAGCAGAAATCAGTTAATTATACATTTTCCTCACTGTCCAAAAGTAGAGTGTTCCTATGAAACCCTTCAAAGTAAGTCAAAATGACATAAAGTTAAGAAGCAATTGTCATTAATTTGTATGGGAAACAGTTTTGAGTATTCCCAAACTCCAAAAATATCCTACCAAGGCACATCAGATAACATATAAAACCTAAAATAACACTAACATATGGTATTCACAGGCTCAATTCAAAGCGATAACAGCTTGATGCTGAGCTATTGAGTATAGTTCCCAGGGAAGGAGCTTGGTGACATCACTCTTAATGCTTGGTGTATATGATGCCTCTTTAAAACTTACTGCAAAATAAATACTGAACACTAGTTTCAAATGCTTTTTGCCTTTTTTGATAAAAGTGAAAATCTCTTTGGATTTCTTTAGGTTAGCAAAAACAGGTACTAATGTAAGTCTTTCATAAAAGCAGAGTACGTACCTACACTATAACTAAATCTCCTATCTTTGGATATGTGATTAATGTCTCTATTGGAAAGAAAGAGATCTCACTTGAATACACACCAAATGAAGGAATTAGTGAATAGCTCTCAAGTTGAAAATGCTTGTGATTCTCTAATTAAAACCTTTAAAAAATATCTATCAATACAACTGTATGCTCTACAACCCTTAAAAATGACATAGATCTGTATTTATTGGCATAGAAAGATATCCGTGATAAACTTGCATATGAAGAAGTAGATTACAAACTGCTTTTTCACAAAATGTTTTACAAAATATGGATAGTAGGATCCCATTTTCATTAAAAAATATTTAAAAATACACTTAGAGTTAACACTTATTTAAAATCCAATGTTGGCTACAGTCTGGAGAAATAATCTTTTATGCTTTTGGTGTAAGGTGATACAATCTTTTTGGAAAGCTACCTAGCAGTTATTTATTACAAATCTAAACACTGAGAAGCTCTTTACCATGGTATTTTCACTTAGAGGAATTTACAGAAACAGTCCCATAAATTAAAAAAGACACATGTATAAGGATGGCCATAATATATATATATATATATATATATATATATATATATATATAAAACAGAAACAATGCTAATGAACATTAATAAAAGTTGATTAAATAAATTGTTTCACATACACAATGGAATTGTATACATCAGTAAAAAGTGAGATGAAGCTATATATACTGTATGGCAAGATCTCAAAAATATATCGAGTGGAAAGAAGCAAATTTCAAAACAGTATAATAATGGTAGTATATCTACAAAATAATAGTAGCATTGCTATTACATTTAAAAAATTAGGAGGCATTAGCACCAAAATGTTTACCATCATTATGGGGTTACGGATGGAAGGCCTGGTGGAAATTATAGGTTAACTCTCCAAGTTATGTATCTCTGTAAAGTTTATATTGTGTATACAGAACATTTAGTACCAACATACTAAAACAGAAAAAAAAAATATGTATTGCTGTACCAAAAACCAAACAAACAAAAAAACCCCCTCAGTCCCTAAAATGAAATTAAACTAAAAAAACCTCACTGCTGTCAAGTTGGTCCTGACTCATAGAGACTCCTCTTTGGCTTTCCGAGGCAGTATCTCTATGGACGTAGATTGCCCAGTCTTCCTTCTGAGGAGTGGTTGGGGGCTTTGAACTGCCAACCATCTGGTTAGCAGTCAAATGCTTTAAGCACTACGCCACCTTTATTCAAGAAAAAAAGGATAAAAAAGTACATTTGAGTGCAGGGAGACACCAGTTCACATGAGTGATAAGTGTTAATGCTAATGAAAAATCTTCTAACCATAACAGATAAAGTCCAAGGAACAAAGAGATTATAATACAATCATTTGGCTAGTCTTTAGTTATGGTCACAAGAAGGCTGGGTTAAGAGGCAGGGATTGGGCAGCTATTGGAAAATTAGGTACAGAAGCTTCCAGTGATTGATTTCAGGGGCTAATTACAACAGTTTTCAATCATAGTCAAATATCCTTTAAACAAACTAACAAAAAACAACCAACTAAATCTACTGCCTTTGAGTGAATTCCAACTCATAGTGACCCCCACTGGGTTTCTGAGGCAGTAAATCTTTACCAAAGTAGAGTGCCCCATCTTCCTTCCGTGAGTGGCTGGCTGGCGGGTTTGAACTGCCAACCTTCTGGTTAGCAGGCAAATGCCTTAGGCACTGCACCACAAGAGCTCCTTTATACAAAAAGGCACCTGTGTCAAGATTCTCTTCCTTAGAATTTATTTCTTTCACTTGGCTTGACCACTTCTTCAGTTTCCAACACCTCTATTAAAAAGCAAGATCACAGGGGCCTGTGAAAAGTTTCTCTCTGTTGAGAGTAACTAGACAAATAGAAGTCTTTGGGCAGACATGTAAAAAAGACCAGTTTAATTCAGGAAAACTGAATTTAATTAAATCATCTAGTCTTGGTCAAAAGGTTTCATGAACTTCTCCTTTACAGTATTGATGGATTTTCATGATCTGAACAATAAAACTGCTATAAAGGTGATTTCAGTAGCCAAACAAAGGTATCCTCTATGAGGAAGGCTTCAAGGATGTCAATTCAAAAAAATTGATTCCTCTAATTAGCAACCATGAATCTTTCATTCACAAATATTTGAACTCCTTTGGAATCTATTCCTATTTTCAGATTGTAGTCTTTATAGGCAAACAAGTCAAGGAGATAGTGTACCGGAAAATTCAAAGAATCTGACAAGGCAAAGTGAACCAACGATTTGTTCTTAGATGGGAACCGGAGATCGGGACTGCAATTTCCTGCGGGGGGCGGGGATAGCCTTCGCATAGGGGGCCCCAGTCCAGGATCATAGTTGATCAAATGACTTGAGCCAATGAGGAAAGGCGGTACACAAACGGCGTCTATGCGCGCCGTGGCCCGTTCTCCCTTCGCCTGTAAAGTTGCACCAATCCGCCTATCAGCAGCAACGCTGGACGTAGACGGGCTACACCATGACATCAGAGTAAGATGGCTGCGCTCTGCAAACTATGATTATTTTTTTCTCGTCGTCCCAGTTTTTGGCCTGGCTTGTGTCGGGATCAGAGTCATACGGACTCAGACTTTCTCCCATTATGTTCTCCCTCCAAAGTTGTGGCCGCCGGGTCGCAGGTTCCTTCACCAAACAGCACTTGGTGTTGGCGCCGTTCAGGGGTGAGAGCGGGGCGTCCAGGTCTTCGCATTTTGATGTTGTAGTTGTCGGCGGAGGACATGCCGGGACAGAAGCAGCCGCCGCCGCCGCTCGGTGCGGCTCCCGGACTCTGCTACTCACGCACCGCGTGGACACGATCGGTGAGGAGCGCCAGTGGTGCGAAGCGTGGCGTGGGGCGCGGGCTACCAATGTCTCACCTACATCCCTCAATTCGCCGCTAGACTTGGGCACCCTCTTCACTCCCGCATTTCTAGTGAGACCCACCCCCGTGGTTTTAGCCTTGATCACTGTCTTGCAGGGATCAGGGGGCTGGGTCAGAATTTTGGTCTGTTCTGTAGTCCAAGGGTTGCGTTAGCTGCTGACAAAAAGCAGTCATTTGTGAGGGGGAGGGTAAGGCGCCTTGGAAAACTTCAGAGATACTCGTTGATATCTTCTTAGTTTATTGCTGTTGTTTACTCTCTACTGTCTTGTTGCTTTGGATAAAGGATGAATTAACATTATTTGTAATCGTTTATTAAACGATCGTTGTGTTTCTCTCGAGATTTTGTGAAGTTTTTCTGAAGAACAATGCAGCTTATTATCGCATCCTGTAATTCTGCCAGGTGTTTGTTTCTTGATTTTGTGCTTAAACAGTACTTTTTTTTTTTTTTTTATCTTAGTTGGCTACAATTGGACAGCCCTAATTTAAAGCAAGACCGCTCTCTGGTATAATATATGCTAGCCAAAATTCCACCTTGTAAATTATGCATGTCTATGTCTCCCGTCTCCCTCCACCCTGCTTTTTGCCTAAGAGTGAACAGTACTTGGAATATTAACTGTTTTGTAAAAATTGTGAATAAATCACATATTTTGTATACTTAAATAGTTTTATAAAATCGGCATTTAATTTGCAAGTGTGGAGAAATACACACTGTTAACAGTGATTCTTTTTTTGAGGAGTGGAGGGGTAAAGACCTTTCACTTTGTTCATTACACACTTCAGTGTTGCTTACATTAAAAAAAAAAAAAAGACCAAGGACTATACTACTTCTTCAATTAAAAAAAAAAATGTATTATTGAAAGAACTGGGCCGGGGGTGGGGAGGTGGAAACACTGCCTCGGAGTTGATTCCAACTCATAGCGACACTATAGCACAGATTAGAGCTGCCCTGGATTTAAGACTGTAAATCTTTACAGAAGCAGACTTTCCCTTGGAGCAGCTGGTGTGTTTGAACCATTGACATTTTGGTTAGCAACTGAATGTCTTAACCATTGTGCCACTAGAGCATCATATTATTGAATAAGGTGATTATTAAATAATTGTGTCAGGAATAAAGGGATTCCCATCAGAACACAAGTCTTTTTTACCAGTACAGTATGATTTCAGTTTCTTGCGTAAACAAATACATTTCAGATATTCTGAGAACACAGGGATTACTAAATGACAATTCCATCTTCAAATCAAAGTCTCTTTTTTTTAAGGTAATTTGATATAATGAAATAAGATGAAGGAGCCCTGGTGGCACAGTGGTTAAAGTGCTTATCTGCTAAACAAAGGTCAGTGATTCAAACGTACCAGCTGCTCCATGGGGAAGATGTGGCAGCCTGCTTCATTGGGAACTCTATAGGGCAGTTCTATTCTATCCTGTAGGGTCACAATGAATCATAATTAACTCAGTGGCAGTGGATTTTGTTTTGGAATAGGAAGTTTTTATTTCTACTTGATTCAGCAAAGAAAGATAGCTTCATTTTAGAAGGTTGAACCTCCATAGGATTGCAGAATGCAAAAATTGACCTGTTGTTATTCAGTTACACCATCAGTCAGTTTTTCCTCCTGTGAACCATGGGTTGTGTTGTTGATGTAGTCACAGAGGGATGCAGAAAGCATTTTGTTTTATACTGATCTGGAAAATAGTGCTGAAGTACCAGTTATGTGATCTTGGGCATGGGGCAACTTATTGAAACCTCAATTTCTTCTTTTATAAAATAAAAATAACAATAGTATATCCTTATAGAGTTACTGTAAAATTTAAGATTGCTGTAAGTCGAAAATGATTGTACAGAACCTAACAACAGCAACACATAAAAATCACTTGGGAGTGCTGACTTTGGCATCTGAACCCGAAGTAGTTCAAGGCAGCAGGATGCACTGTCTGTCCGGCTGTTATGTTGCTTTTCCTCTTTCACTCCACGCTCCCAGCAGCGGCAGCGTCGCGAGAACGTCCCGGAGGCCTGCTCTCTTCCTCCTGCGTGTCAGCCCCGCTTGAGTGGTCGGTCCTGCGTCATCTGGTGGAGGCCTGCGCCCCGCTAGTGTTCAGCCCTTGTGCACGCCGCGCCCAGGCCCATTGGCTGGAGCTCGCACCCGGCCTGAGAACTTCCTTGTTCCGGCGGCGTGGACCCCAGGAGTGAAGCCTCACAGCGCCCGAGGGGAGGTAGGCGAGGGAGTCCGAGGGTTGGTGGGATAGGTGGTGGCGCCGCGAAGATGGTGGCTAAGCAGCAGATCCGTATGGCTAACAAGAAACACAGCAAGAACATAACCCAGCGCAGCAATGTCGCCAAGATCTCGAGAAATGCCCCCGAAAAAAAGGCTTCTGTATGACGCTGGTTATTGGCTCTCTTCATTTTTGTTGTTTGTGGCTCTGCAATTTTACAGATTATTCAAGGTATCAGGATGGGCATGTCAAGTAACTGAACCTTAAGATGTTTCCATTCTCCTGTGAATTTTAACTTGAACTCATTCCAGATGTTTGATACCCTGGTTAAAAACAATTAAGTAAAGCATCCTGCCTCCAAATGACTTTTCATATCATCCTTCATGTGTCATTCCAAGGTTTTTTGACTAGTCATTCCAAGTTTTCTAGTCCATACCACAGTGCCTTGCAGAAGCACCACACCATTAAAGCAATAAAATTTGATTGTTAAGCTACAAAAAAAAAAAAAAGAAAATCATTTGGAACAGTGCCTGGCCTATACTAAGTGACCAGATGTTAGCTATCATTTTACCATAAGCTTTTCTATATGGTGGATTAAAATTCTTTAGTAGAGTAAGAAATGGTCTTACATATTCCCACCACCTCTGCCCATCCCAGGTACTGGTGCCACACCTCAGAAGTTAGGCTCTATTTTAGGTGAGAGATGACAAATAGGTTTTGCTCCTAATGGTACCTCCAAGTGCTTGAAGTACTTTCTGATAAAGGTCAAAGACTACAGCCTTCAGTATGTGTTGTGGTCCTCTAGTTGTGCTCTAAAATACCACAAGTGGGTGCTTTAACAAACAGGGATTTATTCTCTTACAGTTTAGGAATCTAGAAGTCCAACTTCAAAATGCTAAGCTGTGGGGGCTGGGTGAAAGCCCCTTGACCTTGTGCTTCAGCTCTGCCTCTTGCTTCTGGCCCACTGATGCTGTAGGCTTTTTGTAACTTAGGCAGCTGCTGGCTGCTGAGGCTGACAAACCCAGGGGCGACAAGTACAATGGCACAGTCCCAAAATTATCAAATTACATGCCAGGTCATTAATTCAAGTCCATTAACAGTCCCAAGATCAGCAGACAGCATGTCAGGCTGCTGAATGATGACTCGGCTACATGCAGTACTCAAGCATGCTGAAAACTGCCGAGATCTTTTTCAAAACTTCTTGTATGCTGGAAGCAGACCACATCCCTAAGGCAGCTACTCAGCTGCTCCAGTAGATTCCACCATGGAGTTGATTACCAGCCTCATCATGGGGAATAACTACATCTAGCTGCCTAGCCACTCAAAACCAGGCCCAGCCAAGTTGACACATAACCTTAACTACCATAGTATGGATTACACCTCAACAGAGAGATAACCAAAATTCTCACAATTGGACCAGTAAGCAGTGTCATGATAAATGGAGAAAAGATTGAAGTCGTCAAGAATTTTATTTTACTTGGATCCACAATCAGCACCCCTGGAAACAGCAGTCAAGAAATCAAATGACATTGCATTGTGCAGATCTGCTGCAAAAGACCTCTTTAAAATGTTAAAGAGCAAAGATGTCACTTTGAAGACTAAAGTGTGCCTGACCCAAGCCATGGTATTTTCAATTGCCTCATGTGCACACAAAAGGTGGACAATGAATAAGGAAGACTGAAGGGGAATTGATGGATTTGAATTATGGTATTGACGAAGAATATTGAATATACGTGGACTGCTAGAAGAATAAATAAATCTGTCTTGGAAGAAGTATAGCCAGAATGATCCTTAGAAACAAGGATGACAAGACTTTCTCTCTTGTACTTTGGTCATGTTATCAGGAGGGACCATTCCCTGGAGAAGGACATCATGCTTGCTAAAGTAGAGGGTCAGTGAGAAAGAGGAAGGCCCTCAACGAGATGGGTAGATACAGTGGTTGTAATAGTGAGCTCAAACAGCAATGATTGTGAGGATGGCGCAGGACTGGGCAGTGTTTTATTGTGTTGTACATAGGGTTTCTGTGAGTTGGAACTGACTCAATGGCACCTAATAACAGCTACTTCCAAATGACTGGGAATGGCTGCCAGCTTCCTGGAATGCTGTAGTGAGAAACATTTAGGGGACTTAGACTCTGTATCAGAAGAGAGAGGCATTTTCAATTTTTATACTGATAAAGGAGAGTGGTGTCACATTAATACCTATATATCCTCAGAAAATATAAAAGTTTTCAGCAATTTAAAAAGATACAGATTTCTTTGTACTTGATTTACACAAATGCAAATTTAAAAGATATGTATTAATATAAACTACTTCAAGAAAGTGGCTAGAAGTTGTTTGGAGATGGAAGAAAGTGGTGGAATTTCAATAAATTATTTTTATGTGGTTTTTTGTTTGTTTGTTTGTTTTTTCTTTTCCCTTCCCATATATGAGGAGATTCATTTCTGGGGGTTGAAAGTTTGAGAAAAAACCACTTCCATCAAGTTGCTTCTGACTCATAGCAACGCTATAGGACAGATTAGAACTGCCCTATAGAGTTTCTAAGGCTATTAATCTTTACAGAAGCAGACTCTGTCATCTTTCTCCCGTAGAGCAGCCAGTGGGTTCAAACTGCCAGTCTTTTGGTTAGCAGCCCAGTGCTTTAACCACTGTACCACAGAGTTACAACTTCAGATGCTCCAAGAGCCAGACAGAGTTTAAGTGAGTGAAGCTTGCTGGATATAAAAAAGTGTGGATTAATGAGACCATTAGTGAGCTGATAAATACATTTCCATTTGTGTATGTGTGTGTTATTACCTCTGACCTAAAAGTATCTGAAAGATGTCTACTAAGAATGGGAAGGGGATTACTTAAAAGTGATAGAATAATATTTAAAAAATGACACTGGTGATGTCATTCCACATTTCTAGTTTATATTTTGATTGTTGATTAAAACACAATTCAAATGTTTCAGGTATAATCAAGTTATTGTGGTTATGATTTGTTTTGTTCTTTAACAACTCCTTTTTGAAATCCTTACAGTTGAAATGGATCTCTGGTAGTATAATGCCTAAGGCACTTGACTGCTCACCAGAAGGCGGGCGGTTCAAACCCACCAGCCACTCCTCGGAAGGAAGGTTGAGCAATCTACTTCTGTAGTGATACTGCCTCAGCAACCCAAGGAGGGGTCGCTATGAGTTGGGTCTGACTCGATGGCACATAACAACAACAACAACAGCTGAAATGATATCATGTCTGGAAGAGGAGGAGGTGGGTTGAGCTATAGTTGGCATAAGATTGCATTTCAGTTGATAATCAATAATTCATTACACTACTCTCTCTACTTTTTATATATTTAAGATTTTCTGTAACAAAATAGAGGAAGCCAGGTGGCATAGTAGTTAAAAACTTGGCTGCTAACCAAAAGGTCGCTCTGTGGGAGACAGATGTGGCAGTCTGCTTCCATGAAGATTTACAGCCTTAGAAACCTTATTGGTAGTTCTCCTCTGGACTGTAGGGTCGCTGTGAGTTGGAATCGATTTGATGGCAACATTTTTATAATAAAACATTTTAAAAGTTTTATATGTAGTATGTTGAATTAGAAACTTAGGGAGTGCAAATTGGTTGCTTTTACATAAACTCAGGGATACAATAAATAATCATTATTACTTCATGCATCTTGATCTTATGCAGAGTGTATAGAATACTTTCCTAAGCTATTCATCTAAGCTTACTTAATGTAAGTAGTATTTTAGTTCAATGAAATTATGTGATTTTTCAAAATAAAAGGTCAAGAGGCAGAGAATATTTTACAGTGACCTGGGAAATAAAATAACTATTAATAAACATTATTTATAGCTTATTCTGTTTCTGACACTGTACTTTATGTACGTGATCTCATTTTGCAAGCAACAGAAAATACTTATGCAATTGATTTAAACAAAAAGGATAATTTGTTATCTAACAAGAAGTCTGTAGGTGGATCAGCTGTAAGATTGGTTAGTTTAGGGCCCTATGAAGTCCAAGGATTCAGATTCCTTCCATGTCTTCAATATGGCACTTTAGCTGTCCTCATGATTACAGAATGACTGTAACAGGTGTAGGTCTCATATCTGGATATGACAACCTGCAGCATAAGAATGGCACTTTTTTCCTTGTACCTCTTTAGGAGCCTTAAAACCTTTTCCTTGGCATCCCTAACATTGCTTGCCTCATAATTTTTTTGCTCACTGTTAAGTTAGGCACTGGCAAGTAGGAACAGAATTACGACGATTACTTTAGATCAATAAAGATTTACCCCTAAACTGCATTGGAGTCACACTCCCTGAGTGTAAAGTCTCATAGAGGAGGTTATTTAGCAAACTAAAATTGTGACTTTATTTCAAAAGAAGGAGGGAAATGGCTTTGGGATAGGCTCATAACAACATACATACATATATATACACACACACGCACACACATATATATATACATGTATATATACATACATATATATATACACGCATGTATATATGTGTATATATATATACACATACATATGGTCCTTCCTTTCAAGAAGTTTACAATTTAATTATTTCTGCAAAATAAAAGCAAAAAGAAAACAGCAGATAGTTTATGTGAAACTATAACTGTTAACCAGTATCCAGGTACTTCTTAAAATTGTGCTTAATTTGGAAAGATTTCATTAGGTAATGACTCCAAAACCACATTCAAAGGAGAGAGCAAACCTGTAGCTGATCCACCTATAGACTTCTTGTTAGATAACAAATTATCCTTTTTGTTTAAACCATATCTACTATAGCTGTCATCTCTTTTTTACAGTAGGAAAACTGAGGTGTATAAAGTTAGGTAACTTGCCATAAACACAGAGCCAGTATGTGGTAGACTTAGGAATTGAGCCTACATCTCTTTTACTCCTAAACCATGCTCATACACATGGCATTATTCCTTCTCCTTGTGGAGACCGTGAACACTTTTACAGGCCTTGGTGATGGCTACAGGGGATGTACAGATACTGACCCAACTTTTTGCACCCCGTGATTTCCCAAATAACACTGGAGGAATTTAAAAGGAAGGTATAAAATAAGATTCCTCCTAACAGGCAAAGTTATGATAACTTCTTTGCCACAATCAGCCACCCTGAGAGAGCAAGTTTGTTGGGCCTGTGGGCTCTGGACCATGGTCACTGGGGATATCATGATCAGTTGGCATAACATACTACACAAAAATATTGTTCTACATCCTACTTTGGTGAGTAGCAACTGGGGTCTTAAAAGCTGGCAAGTGGATGCTTGTAACAGTTGATCTAGACCAGTTGATCTAGATCAAATCTAGCGATTGATCTCTAGATGCAACAATTGATATCTCGTCCAGAGCAAAGAATAATGAAGAAAACCAAAGACGCATGGAAACAGTTAGGCCAAGGGCCTAGTGGACCACACAAACCTCAGCCTATATGACCATGAGACCGTAAGAACTAGATGGTGCCTGGCTACCACTGTCAGCCACTTGGAAAGGGATTAGTGCAGGAGATCCTAGATAGGGTGGGAGAAAAATGCGCAACAAAACTCCAAATCATAAGAAAGACCAGGTTTACTGGTCTGATAGAGACTGGTGAAACTCCTGAGAATATAGCCCCTAGTTACCCTTCAGGCCTGGAATTGAGCTCACTCCTATGGCTTCCAGGTAAATAATAGACCTACAAGGTGAACATTTATACTAGGTGGCTACACCCCTTAGAACAGTAGTCTGTCACTGGAGATTAGAAGAGCAGTATTTGCACAGGGAGATAGCTCAAATGGCAGGAATGAGTAGGAAAGAAGACATAAGGAAAAGGTAACCACAGGGAGAAGGTGGGAAGAGAGTTGTTACATGATGGGGATTGCAATCAATGTCATGAATAAAATGTTAATGAACTGTTGCATGGGAAATGAATTTGCTGTGTAAACTTTTACCCATATCACAATTAAAAAAAAGTGTGTGTGTGTGTTTGTGTGTGTGTGTGTGAGAGAGCGCTCTGGTAGCATAGTGTCTAAGGCACTTGACTGCTAACCCAAAGGCTGGCGGTTCAAACCCACCAGCCACTCCTTGGAAGGAAGGTTAGGGGATCTACTTCCGTAGTGATACTACATCGGAAACCCAAGGAGGGGTCGCTATGAGTTGGTTCTGACTTGATGGAGTTACTATAATAATAAAATATAAAATGTGCAAAGTAAGGAGATCTGGTGGCATAGTGGTTAAGCATTCATCTGCTAATCACAAAGTCAGTGGTTTCATCTGCTAATCACAAAGTCAGTGGTTCAAACCCACCAGCCGCTCCACAGGAGAAAGATGAGGCAGTTTCTGTAAAGATTTACAACCTTGTAAACCCTGTAGAGGCAGTTCTGTTCTGTCCTATAGGGTCACTATGAGTTGGGATCAACTTGATGGCAGTGGATTTGGTTTTTTTTGTTGTTGTTGTTACGTGTAAGATGTTTATAAATTGTATATCTGTTCTCTTTAGGTCAGATGTCTTGTAATCCTTCGTTTGGAGGCATTGGAAAGGGACATTTAATGAGGGAAGTAGATGCCTTGGATGGCCTGTGTTCTCGCATCTGTGACCAGTCTGGTGTACATTACAAAGTATTAAACCGGCGTAAGGGACCAGCTGTGTGGGGTCTAAGAGCTCAAATTGACAGGAAACTCTATAAACAGAACATGCAGGTAAGAATATGTTAGGAGAACAGGAAAGAGTAGTGATAAAATGCAATGTTACATGGGTATTTTTCAACGTACACTCTCTTTCGTAGAAGGAAATCCTCAATACGCCACTGCTTACTGTCCAGGAAGGAGCTGTAGAAGATATTATTCTTAAAGAACCAGAGCCTGAATACACAGGGAAATGTCGTGTTAGTGGCGTAGTTTTGGGTATGTGCTGGTTATAGGTGATGATAGTAGCATATGAAACTCCATGTGAGCAATTTATTTTAGAACAAAGTATGGAAATGTTATGCTTTTTTGAGAAAATTTTTGTGTTTTGTCTTTCTGGATAAGGAAAAATCTATAAATAATCATGTTTCTCTTTTTATTTGGACCTTAATGAAGCTCAGTCAAACTCAAGCCTCAGCTGTAGAATTTTAGTGTAGGACTTTATAACCTGCATATTTGTGTCTTTTTGCCCTGGTGTGGGCTTTTGATTGTAATTTGTATTTTTCCTAGTTCTCACTTTACATTTTTAAAATTTCTATTTAACCAGTATATATTATATATGCTTTTTATTTAAAAGTTTACATGTTAATTTTTAAATCAAAATAACACATGTCCAAAGTTTTAAAAAAATCAAATGTAATTTAAAAATTTGTATGGTGAAACAACTGTTTCTCCCCAGAAGCAACCACTTCATCTTTTTTCTTCTATTATCTCTCTAACTCTCTATCTGTAACTTCTGTCACTTCTTGGGAACTTGATTCTCTGTGTTTTTTCTGTTAGTATTTCTTTGTCATTTTGCTGTACTTTCTTAGAAGATTTCCTCAGCTTTATTGATATACCTTCGTATTTCTAGATAATATGTTTGTATTTTTACTTTTTGATTTATCAGCCCTATTAAACATTATGGGTTCTGGTGGTATAATGCCTGAAGCATTTGACTGCTAACCAGCAGGCAGGCGGTTCACACCCACCAGCCACTCCTTGGAAGGAAAGTTGGGCAATCTACTTCCGTAGTGATACCTCCTCAGAAACCCAAGGAGGGGTCACTATGAGTCAGGTCCAACTCGATGGCAGTGTGTTTGGTTTGGGGGAGCTCTGGTAGCATAGTGCCTAAGGCAGTTGACTGCTAACCAGGAGGCTGGCAGTTCAAACCCACCAGCAGCTCCTTGGAAGGAAGGTTGGTCAATCTACTTCCATAGTGATACTGCCTCGGAACCCCAAGGAGGGGTTGCTATGAGTCGGGCCCAACTCAACGGCACATAACAACAACAACAATAAACATTATTAGCTTTTTGTTAGTGGTTAAAAAAAAACACCACCTCACTGCCATTGAGTCAATTCCAACTTATAGAGACCCCCATGGGGTTTCTGAAGCAGTAAATCTTTACAGAAGTGAATTGCCCCATCTTCCTTCTATGGAGCACTAGTGGGTTTGAACCCTGACCTGGTTAGCTGTCAAATGCCTTAGGCATTGTGCCACCAGAGCTCCTTTTGTTAATGGTAGCTCTCTTTTATCCCCTACTTTTCATTCTTTAGCTTTCCAGTATACTTGCACCATAATTTTGGTTGATAGTATTTATATTATCATAATTATTTAAATACTGGCTACTGCTGAGCCAAGTAGTGTATTATGTTTATGGTTTCTTTAATAAAGTACTTTATTTTGCTTTACGTTAATAATTGGTTCATTTTTATTTGCTTAGTTTTCTGTCTACCTATCGAAATTTTTCATCAGAAGTACTTATTGATATCATTTCCTTAATATTCCTATATCAAGTAATTTATAAATTTAGGACTGGGCAGTGCTGTGTTTTGTTGTGCATAGGGTTGCTATGAGTTGGAATTGACTCTATGACAACTAACAATAACAACATTTTTTCCTTTCACATTTCCCTTCCAGAGACACCTTTACCCCTTCTACTATAATCATGACAATTGCTCTCTAGGCTTCCTTGCACAGATGCCCTTTTGAGACTTCCCTTCAGCACTTTGTTGTGTTAGATCCCTTGATTCCCTGGCTTCATAATACATCTTGATACATAATCCTATGCTGGAGCATATCTTCTAGTCACTTTTAAGAAGGGAAGCATGGGAGGTAAATTTTTTTTGAGTTCTTGCACATCTAAAAATGTATTATTCTCCCTTCAGACTTGACTCCTAATTAGGCTTTTTTTCCCCAGAATTTTGATGGTCTTGCTCTATCTACTATCTTCCAGTTTTCAGTATTGCTATTCAGAAGTTCAGTGCCATATTGACTTAAATTTCTTTGTAAATGCTTTTTTTTTTTTCCCTGTGAAAGCTTTTAGAATTTTTTATTTGTTCCTGGTGTTCTGAAATTTTGCATTGATAGCCCTCAGTATAACTTTGTTCCTTTATTGTGCTGGGCTACTGTATATTCTCTTTCAATCTAGAAATTTATCCTTTATTTCTGGAGTGTTTCTTCTATTACTTCTCTGTGCTCTCTTCCTGCAACTCCTGTCACTTCCTTGGAATTTAATTCTGTACATTTCTTGTATTTTGCTATACTTTCTTAGAAAATACTTAGCTTTATTATCTAAATCCTTCTAATGAATTTAAAATTTTCGTTTATCATATTTTTTCATATATAACAAAAAGCACTGCTATGGAGTCAGATCTGACTCATAGCAACCCCTCCTTGGGTTTCTGAGGTGGTATCACTTTGGAAGTATATTGCTCAACCTTCCTTCCAAGGAGTGGCTGCTGGGTTTGAACTGCCAGCCTTCTGGTTAGCAGTCAAATGGCACTGTGCCACCCGAGCTCCTTTCATATATAAGAAGTCTCTTTTTTCTGATTAATTCTTTTTCTTTTATTTTGTGTGTGTGTGTGTGTGTATGTATATGTGTGTGTGTATATATATATTTTACATTACACATATTTTATGTATACCAGAGGGGCAAGGAGGTGGCATCCTCTGACCTCCTCTAACCACAAAAGAGGAGAATGGAATCACTGTCAGCAGTCCAAGGCCTGCTCCTATGAGGCCAGACATACTGCCTCCCTCCAGCTCTTTCACCAACACTGTACCAATTGTCCCTCTTGCCGCACCCACCATCTCTGTGCTGGGTTCGATAATTCACTGCAGTGACCACACAGAACTCACAGATTATGGGGTTTATTAGGGAAGCACCAGGCTACAATTCAAGTTCAGGAGTGCACTCAGTCTCTCTCAGCCGGCTATCTCTCTCGGTCTCTTTTGGTAGCATATCTTTCCCTCAGCAGTGCATGTCTCTCATATCTCTTTCTCAGCAGTGTGTTTCTCTCAGCAGCACGTCTTTCTCAACCAGCAGTCAGAGAGACCCTTTTACCTCTAGGAGGGCTCCTTGAGTCTGGCAGAGTGGCCAAAACCAACCAATCCCAACATCAGAGTTACACCTTAGTAACACCTGAGCAAGAGTGAACTTCCCAGAAAATTACTTTGTGCCGCTTCCAGCAGAAGTACTCCAGGTGGATTACTGTAACAATCAGGAGCTACTTAGTTGCTCATGGTACATTCCACCATGAAGTTTACAAAGACTATGGCTAGAAAAGCCATACTACACTGCAGGCCACTCCCTGGCTTTTCTAGCCATTATACTTCTTATACTTCAAAAATTAACATCCCCTTCACCATCAGTTTAACAATAACTACACCCATGAAAGTGGGTAAGCCAGCCACTTCATACATTTATTTCCCCCTATTTTAAATAACCAATTTCTAATTTGCCCATCCTTATCAAACCAGTACTCTGAGGAGACAAGCATGTTCCTTTCTCTCTGGAGAATCTTCTCTTCTGCTTGAAAACTTGGTCATCTGCATCCATAAACAAGCAAAGTCCAAACCAGTGCAAGCCATCAAATTGCAGCAACTTAACACCAACTCAGCATCAAACATCTTTCTTTTCGTTTGGTCAGGTTCTGGTCAGCTCAGCTCTAGCTATCTCAGCTAGGTCATGGGTTACAGCTGCCAAGTTTGGGAGTCACACTCTTCCGTTCACTTCAGACCAGCCAGCACCTACTCTCTCACATCCTTAGTTCTCAGGGACTGTCAGTGCCCGTAGGCTCACAACTCCTTGCCCTTCAGACCAGCCAGCCCTTTCTCTTGTCTCTAGCCTCCATAGGCTAGGTCAAAGAGTACCAAACTCAGCCTGTTTCTTCATTGCTGCACGTCCCACATTTCCACTCTTCAAGTGGACCCAGGTCGTCACAAGCAAGCAGCATACAAGGCCATCTATTAACCAGCTTCCTTTAACTTCCAGTCCTGGAAGGGGTTTCTCTCATGGGCCATAACTCTCCTGTCTTGATGCACCCAAAGCCTAACTGCTTGCTTGCAATTCAGAAAGCCAGTTTTGTTTGTTGTTGTTGTTTTTTCTGTAGGTCCTGTCTTCAGATGCAGATCTTCTGTTCTCTCAGCAGTTCTGATGGGGGCTCAGGTTTTCTACCTTGTTGTTGTTGTTGTTATGTGCCGTTGAGTCAAACCCGACTCATAGCGACCCCTCCTTCTACCTAGGTCCCTAATACTCTCTCTATGTAGGGGTTTGAAACAAAAGCCTGTGTTTCTTCTGGGAAAATTCTGTTTTCCCTTTTAACATATCCAATCAAGTATTGGCTGAAGGCAGACTTACACGCTCTGTGTTACCCATACCTCATAATCATTTCTAACATACAAGTAGGTGAGAGAACATTCAATACTTGTAGTACATTTAGATAAATACATAATCCAAAATGCATAATCCTTTTTAAGACATTCCAGTTTCATCTCTTCACCTTGATTATCTTCCCATTCTGTGTTTATGGCCTTGGTCCTTTGACTGGGTGAACTAAAAGCCCCAGCCTCTGGATCAGTTATCTCCTTTAATAGGTAACACCAAGCAAAGTAAACATCTAAGAATCCAAAGTTTCACTTCCCAGATCCCTTCCTTCTTTCTTTTACAAAGTCTCATGCTTCTACGAGTCTGGAGCCACTGCAACAAATCCCACTGCGTCTGACACCAACTGCTAAAGGGGTAGGGAGGTGGCACCTTCTTTCTTCCTCTTGTGGGGTTAGAAGTCAGAAAGTGCCACCTCCCTACCCCTCTACAATATATATATGTATACCTTTCCCATGTAAGCCATTTTTGCATGCATAATTTAGTGACAGGTTGTACAACCATTGCCATTGTCCATTTCCCAAATTTATCATCATTCTTAACAGAAATTTAGTGCTTTTAAGCACTAATTCC